TATCGTGATAATCGATTAACAATTACACGGTACTAAATGAAAGATTAATCTCGTAGGTAATGGAAGATTAATCCATCATGCGCCAAAATGATAGATCTAGGGAAATGAACCGGAAAGGAGGGAGAAGTAGAGGGAGGAAAGGGGAGAGAACAAGAGAAAGAGAGAGAGAGAGAGAGAGAGAGAGAGAGAGAGAGAGAGAGAACTAACTGTCAGCTAATCTACATGATAACTTAATTAGCAAATTTCGAATAATTAGTAGAAATAGTCTAATCTATATCTCTCCGACCGCAATATTTTTAAATTAGCATTTCGGCGAGTTGCTTTGTTGATGCTATCGTGAATAAACTATTACGTTATGTTATATTGACATACATCCGTCAAATCGGATACGATCCAGATCTAATACACTCAGATATTTCAAACAGAGAGTTTACAAGATATTTATAAAAAGGTTGCTTACACAGAATTCCAGATAAACCGCTATGATTTTTGATTGTGAGTTTCTTTTTATTTTGAGATGGATATCATAGTAAAAATTCAATCATCTCTTTCTTTAAAAAAAAAAATTTGGCAAATACATTTCAACATGCAACATTAAATAGCTGCAAATTCGTTCAGAATTAAATAGTATATAAATCCGCAATTATTTTGCTTCTTCATAATATATTTTAATGTCGCAGTCTCATAAATATAGATGAAATTATCAACGATGATTTCAAATCAAAATTTGTTTGATTAAAATTCAAAATGCAATTATATATTAGAAAGGAAAGCGAACGGAGAGATGATTTAAAATCCATGGCTGTTGTTCGAATTTTCGAGCGAGAAAACAGTGCTGTAGTTCGCACTTCATCTTTTATGAACAATCTCATTGCAAAAGCCCGCGCGAATAAAGAAAAACATACACCGTGCACAAAGTCATCTCCATCTTTCCATTTCTTCATCTTCCGAGTTCCGATTCTTTTCATTATCGCATGGAAAAGGAACGCTATTTGAGGAAGATATGGGTCGACCATCCATCTGGAATAGAAGGTTCCCCAGTCGTCAGTTCTATCCCTTTTTTTTCCACATGAAATAACTTTCTCGTTAGTTTTTGCTTGCGAATAAAAACGCGCATTTTCTTACGAGACGATTTAAAAATGTCGAGCTACGATCAACCTTGCTAATTAAAACATCGAAGCAATGATAGATCGCCTAGAAGCCATAGATACTGTAGTCTAATCTATCCTCTCGTGAAGATATAAGAATTGTCCAAAAAAAAATCTTCCCACACAAAAACTCACATATCCTCCAAACCACTTTAAAAAAAAAAAACAATTTTTTAATTTAGTAAGCTTTGCAATGAATGTAAGAAACGATTGAAACAGTTAGTTTCGTAATCGCTTTGTTCTCAATTGCAAAATGGCAAGTGAAGTAGAAACACGCAAATCCATAATCAAAATTTTTCAAGAACACCCGGAGTGGAGTTTCATCAAAATCGCGCGGGAGGCGGGAGTTTGCAGGAAAATGGTGTCAATAGTTATTAGGCGTTTCAAGAAAGACTTGACTATTAATCGTAAAGAAGAATCTGAAAGGAAAAAAGGTTTTCAGAGTCCAAAAACAGCGAAGAAAGAAGGCATCCGAGGAAGTGACTGAGACCACCATAAAAAGTATGATGGAGGGGATTCCAGAAAAAATTAAAAATTTTTGTCAAAAGTAGTTTTCAAGAATTTTTTTAAATATAGTTTTAATTGTAATTAAAAGACGTTTCTAAAATGGGTTTGCTTTTGAAAATCGGTCAAGTAGTTTGGAGGATATGTGAATTTTTGTGTGGGAAGGTTTTTTGCTTGGACAATCCTTATGATAGAGAAGATAGAAAAGTACTGAAAATAGGCGCGAAAAAGGCGAATGACCGCCAGAAATGATAAGCAATATGATAAACCATACTATTAAATTTTGTCCGATGATGTTTCATCAAATTGCAGCGCTTCAATGTAAGACAAAAATACTGCAAAAGATATCAATTTTTAATTTTATGTAATTTAAGAACAAAATCTCATAGAAAAAAATTCAAAAATTTGAAGCACTATTTTTGTACCTTAAAATACGTGGTCAAAAACTTCTCTATGATTTTCATTAAGATATTTAACTTTTCATAAAATGCGATAAAAATATTAGTGTCAAAATATTATAAGTATTATTTTAAATGTAGACATAAAAATAATTTTGTTGGATCATTAAAAACTAAAATAATTACGCAGGAAACTCAAGCAAGACTGGAAAAAGTTTTGATATTCGAACAATCAACTTGAACGTCCTATTTAATTATTTTCATAAATCAACAAAATTTATTTTCAGATCTATATTTAGCTAAATTTTTACTTCAGCAAAAACTGTTTTAAAAATATTATTTTTAATAAATGTGACAGTTTTAACTGTCATCGTATTTTAATTAAATATAAAATGTTATAATACTTTTTAAAAAATAGATCATTCTCTCTGAATAGTGATTCTCTAATTCTCTTAAATCGTAATCTTCAATTAAATTGAAGATTACAGGATAATTGTTATCCCCGTTTCTTTGTTCAACAAAACTATCACAAAGCATTCGTAATTACGGCGAGACGCTCTCAAAAGTAATTTAAGCGCGAAAATAATGAGCGGAAACCAATCGCGATGATACTTCACGTTGATTACGATTCGTTACGGTCGCTTCGTAATTGAGATTGATTAAATGTATGTATTGCATCCTGTATAAGTATATCTCTATTATAAATATCAACGATTTAAAATACTTCGGCTGAATACAAAATGGTCCAGTGTTTCTCTAGTAACAACATTTGAACATTTCAAATATTATTCACGTTTAATTGGAAAGAAATATAATTCGTGTACATTGCTATTAAAGCTTAAACGGAAAGTTTCGATATAATATGATTAAATAATAAATAAAAGTCCATATAAAAAATTAGCTATGAAATAAATCTTATCTTAAGATATATCAAAGTATAAAAATTCGATGCTTGATTCGTTGCGATCGATTTCAACCTATGTTCGAAAAAAATCTTCATTCAGAAGAAACTGACTACTTTATATATAATTTTATAAAAATCTCGCTCCATTATTTTAAAGTTACGCTTTCTACGTTTTCTATGCTATTGTCAAATATTCCCTACTCTCTAATTTTTCGAGTGCCCCTCGGGCGAAGAGAAATTCGAAATACGATGCATTAGCGGATAGCACGCAACAACAAGATACTTCGCTACACCTGAAACACCACTCTTTCTCTCCAAAATCATACGCGAATCTTTTCTTACAAGTTGCACTTTCGCAATTTTATTTATCGTAATATTTTGCTTGTATCTCCGTATCGTATCAATGATAATGCATATCAGGTGATAATAAAAAGATCGCGCTAGTGAATAAGATCTCGAAGGAAACGAAATATGCATGAAACCGACTTTCCTCCGCCTGGCGTGTCCGCGCAAATAACATTCGGATCTTAAATAGCGCGGCTGTGCCGCTCGAAAGGGTTAAAATGCTTGTGGCTGAAATGAAAAACGGAGGTCGTTGTGCGTTGTCGCCTCCAGCTAGAATGAAATCCCATGCGTGCGGGAATACAATTCCCAAAATCGCTGCCTAAGGCGATGTTTACAGTATAGATTTGCCGCGTTCTGGCAAAATTCTTTCTCTCTCTCTCTCTCTCTCTCTCTCTCTCTCTCTCTCTCTCTCTCTTTCTCTCTCTCTCTCTCTTCACCGTTTGTTTGTTGAACGGCTAGAGCAATTAAAAACTTTTGAAATGTGCATTTTTGTTATCTTTGATCGTCGTACACATCCCATCAGTTGCATATCACAAACCGAGAAAAATAGGTTTTTATTTAACTTTGAAATGTGAATTAAATATTGAAGATGTAAATGAACAACGAAATTTTGTACTTTAATTTTGATTTTAGCGATACTCTGATCCAAAATTTATTTTCCAAGATATTTGCAAGGAAAGAATGGTTATACTAAGGTATCTAAAAGTTTAGCTAGAGATATAGATTTGAGGATAATTTTGTTAGACTATCAAAATAATTAATACATAGAATAATACATAGGACGCTTAAATTGCTTACTAAAATTTCATAGCTTCTTGCAGCCTCATTCATTATATTTAACATCTTGCATTATTATTTTGATGATCTAACAAAATTATTTTTAAATTGGTTTCTAGGCTAAATTTTTAGATTTTAACAAAATTGCTCTTTCTATATGATATTGACAAATAAATTTAAGTTTACGATAAATGATGAGCAATCATAAAATTTTCATTGTATTATATAAAAGAGATGTTCTCTTCAAATATTCGATCTTTTCTGAGATAATTCGAATCATTTATTTTTCAAATTTATGTTTTTCGAACGTCTTTCAAACCTTAACGATTATTCTGAATCTGATTAGAATAAAAATATTAACGAAAAGCGAAGAAATAAAAACTTATTATTACTTATTCCTATTTGCAGCAAGTACTATTCTTTATCCAATTTTTAGATATTAATACCTCAGCAATCATCGCAGATTGCGAATCAATGAAGCAGTTCGATCTTTATAAGTCTATTCTAATTTATATTTTCATTTTAACTACATGAATTCTTCAAGAATTATTTTTACTTCGAATACTTTGGCATTACACGATTTATATAAATTTACCTGAGACTGACCAAGGTCGGCAACATCACTGGCTTTTCTTATTTCGAGTAAAAAGCGGCACGTATAAGACTAAAAGAGGCGGCATGTATAAAAATACTTCAAAGCTTTCTTTAAACTGAATACCATTGTTACCATGTCTATGCATTTCAAACATGTAAAAATGGTCAGTAAAAGAATTTCAATAATACAAAATATTATCATGCGAAATATCATGTAAACTAAAAACTCACATAAATTTAAAAGAAAAGGAATAAAAAGAAAAATAGAAATGGAGAAAGCGTGAAAAAATCAAATGATTTTTCCAGTCATACCGAAAAAAAGATCCTTACTTTTCTCTCGTAGTCGCGATTCGGCACGGCGAGCCAAGGTAGATCGGCTACGTGGGCGCGAAAGCTCTCGTCAAAGTCGAATACCTCGGTTACGTTACTCCAGAGGACCACGTGCACCACCTCGAATTTCTTTTTCTTCTCGCCGCTATCACCTCCTCCGCTGTTGACACTCGCGTAAAGCTCAACTAGTTGACGAGTGAAGTCGTCGCAGGTCGCACCGGGATTCACGAAGCTGAAGTACATGCCGACGATCTCGCAGGACGGACGGCCGTCCTCGTGGACGAGAGTGGCGGCCGCCGAGTCGATTGACTTCCTCGTGTCATTAACGTAACTGCAACGCGCGAGCTGCTTGCCAAACAACCGGTGTTGCCAGCATAGTGGTTTACCGGCCGTTGACGAAGTCTTCCTATCAGTACTCGCTGCGGATACCTGTTCGTTGACGCACCGTTCAGCCATCGCTTTGCGACACGACTGGCCTGGGCTAAAGAGTCTGAAGACTGAACTGCCTTGTTCGCCGGCGACGCGCGCCGCCGAGGAGCCCTTCGACGGAGGAGGGGTTGGACGCCGCCAGACACTGCACAGTGCACCGCCGCAACGCAACACCACGTGTTACCAGCCAACTACAGCGACGGAAAGGCAGGCGCAGACAGACAAACTGAATTACTGAAACTGAATTCGTATTTCGTATCATGTCGACTTGCATGCGGCGATATTGTATGAAACTACATAAGCGCGCATCCGAAACGCGCATCCAAAATCGGCCTCCCAGCACGTTTAGGCAGTTATTGAGTTATGTCTTTTTATACTTTCCTTTTGGAGCAAGATATCTATACCTACATTTATTTTAGTTTTTTTTTTAACGTATTTAATATTATTTATATTCCTCTTTTGGCTTGAAAAGCATCAAAGTGTTATTAACTTTCATTATTTTCTTTTGTTATATTCCTGGAAAAAACTTTTCCTTCCCTGGAAAAAGAATTTTCATACATATTTTTTCAGAATTTCTACACAGATTTTAGAATGTTTCTAAATTCCTATATAATTTTATAACTTTTTTGAATTTTTTATATAAATTGAAACACTTTCTGAAATGCTAAGACATGCTAAGAAATTATGTGTTTTGTAAAATGAATTCTTTATACATATATGTGAGTTGTAACATACCTTAAGATTTCTCATTCTATCGTTTCTGAAGAAAATTTATAAAATGAAGAAGTTTAAGGTACTTTTCAGAATTTTTAATAAATTTATAGATAGATAGATATAGAATATGAAAAATTTTTTTAAATGTTAGAGATATTATGAGAATTTTTCTCATCAAAGATATAATTTAAAAAATGCTCTATCAATTTATTCTTAGAGAGAGAGAGAGAGAGAGAGAGAGAGAGAGAGAGAGAGAGAGAGAGAGAGAGAGAGAGAAAGAGAGGG